GGAGCAGCCCCTGCAGGAGCATCCCGTGCAGGAGCATCCTGTGCAGGAGCAGCAGCTCCCAGGAGAAACACAAGCCACCCCCGGTGCAGGAAGCCCCCCCTTTGCGTAGTTCAGCCTGGGGGCGGTTTAGCTGCTGCTGCATCTTGCATCGTGTTTAGCAGGAAACCTCCTTGCCTGTTATTCTTCCTCTTCCCTGCCGGGAACGGCTCAGTCTTTCCTTGCCCTTGTAGGAAAGAAAACGGGCTGCAATAAGGAGCTGTTTTAAGGGGAAAGGGTGGGAGATCCGGGTCCTGAGGGGACTCCAGGGAATCCCAGGCTCTCTGTAGCTGCTCTTGGTCTTTTACACCCAAAATTAAATGTTTGTAAGAGCAGGAGATTCTGCCGCGGGCGGGCAGACACAGAGCTTTAGTGCTTGAGGCCAGATGCTCTGGGACCAGGGGACAGCAGCCTTGGTAATACCCAATGACGATGATTAATTTAACTCAGCCAGGTTGAGACCACCTAGGATGGCTGAATTCTTACTTGACTTCTCTCCATAAATTGCCCATTAAATAGCACTTAGACTTCTTCCTGTTTATGGAGGCAGCAGTTTAGCAAGAATTTCATGGCCAAACTCCAGTGGGAATCAGCGACTCCGATCCCAGGTGCCATCTAGTGGCAACGTCCCCTCCTCCAGGGCACAGATTTTAGACACGCCACATCCTGCAAGTGCCCCGTGCACATCCGTATGAACGAATGCATATTTAATACACAGAATATATTACGGTGCTAAGCCTGATCACTTAACCTCCCGCCGTGCGAATCAAGGGAAACTGCAGCATTTCTGCCCCGTTTTTGCAGGAGCTCTTCCCGCCGCGGGCCTCTCCTGCCCCCACCTTAGCTAATCAGCACGGGGAAAAAGCGGCTCAGCCGGAGCAGGAGGCTGCGGATGGAGCGGGGAGCAGATAAGGGAGCGGAGCAGCCAGCAGATAGGAGGGACTTCACGCGTCTCTCCTTCCTGCTGCCTTTTCCCAAAGCAAATGAGCAATGAGCTGGCACCCAGCTCTGCTAATTGCAAAGGGAAACTCTGACACGCAAATGAGTTCTTTCCACAGCGGAGAGAGGAAAACACACACTTGGGGCTGTTGTTCCATCTTGGCCTTCCTAAGGCCAAGCCAAGCGCTGCAGAAACAGCTGAAAATGATTTATTTGTTATTCGCCCGTGGACGAGTTTCTGCATTTTTGTAAGCTAAGAGTATGTGATGATTAGTGTGTGATATGGAGATAATTCCAGCTTGGAAAGGGCAGGCTCTGCAGGATGCTGCACCCTTGCAGGGGCTGTAGGACCCTGAGGGGACAGGGGGACCCGGTCACCCTGCCTGGAGGTGGCTCAGGCCTGAGCAGGCTCCGGGGAGCTCATCCCTGTGGGAGCCACCTGGGCCCTGTCCCCAAACCTGGATGTGTTGGAAAAGCCAAGCCAGGAGCAGGCCTGTCCTGTGGGAGGCAGAAGGGAGAGGCCGCGGCTCTTCTCTTCCTCTCCCATTCAAGAGGCAGCTTAGCTCTAAAATGTGAGAAATTTATATTCTTTTTCCCCCCAGCCTTTGATCAGCAACCTAGCAAAAACACCAAAGACATTTCCTAAACAGGAAAGCCAACTTTGCTTTGTTATTTCCCTCCTTTCCCAGCCCTGCCTGGGATGCTGGAACAATAGGGGCTTCTCTGGCTGCTCTTTCATTCCAAAAATTGCAGGGACTGGCCCGGGAAATTCAGGTGCTAAATTTAACTCTGTTTAAATGACATTTATGCTAATAATATCATCTTTTCATTTATTCTCCTCGAGTCAAGAAATAGACAGCAGCATCTCAGGTTGCTGGGTGAAGGAACCGGGCACAAAGCAGCGATGAGCTGGGATCTAGGAGGGGGTTCAGCTCCATCCAGGACTTATTTTGCTGCACGCAAACACGTGTGCGCACAGTGTTAGCAGCATCTCCACTACAATGGGGATGGGGAACGAGGGGGTTTGGCTGCCCTGATGGTTTTCTCCTTGAACGCTTTGCAGAAACACTTTCTAGACACGAAGGGCCCCGACCTATGGCGGGCGGTTTGCGAGGAGGGCCGGGACACGAAGCCCCCGCCACATCCCAAAGTCACTTCCCTTGGTATTCCCAGCTCCCACTCCGCGGCTCTTGCTAACGCCACGGGGTCGGAGCGGTACTGATGCTGCCTGCAGCATCGCCCCCGCCGTAACGTGCATTTCCTCTTGCAAAAATTGCAGATCCCGCCACAGATGTGCTCCAGAAATCCCACTGGGAGAAGGTAAGTTCTTGGCGCTGATTGCTGGGGTGGCCTGGGTAGAGTTTTCCAGCCACTAAAATGCCTGAAATGGCTACTGCAAAATGCTGTTTTCCTAAAGCAAAAACACGAGGGCCCCAACAATAACCCTTCATAGGTGACTGGCACTCCGCACCCTCAAAGCACCCCACGGACATTGATGAATTCCTCCTCTCCACGCTGCGCGCTCCAGGCACGCTCAGCAGGCGCTCGGCTTTCCTGTTTGCGAGCCTCTTGGCTCCGCTTTTTGTTTTTCTTTTCCAGTTAGGAATAAAATCCCTGAGACGGGGCAGCGTGAGGAGCCACCAGGACTTTTCTCGGAAGACGCTGATCGCCTTGGTGACGTCCGGGCTCTTGCTGGCGTTCCTGGGCTTGGCTGGATACTTCCTGATGCGGCGGCGGAGCTGGAGCCCCGCGGCGGAGAGGCTGGTTAGTGCCTACAGGTGGCAAAGCAGCGCGTGGGGAGCAGGAGGCCGCGGAGCCGCGCGGAGGCCGGAGCCGTGTCCATGTCCACGTCCACGTGCCCGGTGAGACGCAGCAGGAGGGGCTGGACGAGCGCGCTGGTTTGGCCAGGAAAGCCAAACAAACAGGGCCGACAGGAGCCCGGGTCAGCCCGGGCGGGAGGAAATCGCTCTTCCCTTCCCAAATTAGCTTTTTATTCATTGCTCCCTTGGGAAAAGTGCCCCTTCCTCTCTGTTATTGTAGCTTGAACACTTCTGCTCAGCAGTAAGAGCTCATCCAGCAAGAGCCCTGCAGGGACACTGAAACCTTGTGAATTGGGCACTGAAAGTGACTTCAAGGTCTCATTCAGAGCATTTAAGGATGGGCTGTGTGTCTGCCTTGTACCAATGCTGTAACAAAAGCTATTTCTCCCCTCAGTTAATAATGATTAATAAAATATATCACGAAAGAAAGAAGGCATTTTCCTATTTCCGCTCTTGCTCTTTGCAGAGGGGCTGAGCCCGGAGGGCAACTTCTCGCTCATGGCTCGCAGGGATGTGAGTCCCGAGGAAGGGAAGCCGTGTCCTCCTCCGGGCACGGACCGCAGCGGGACGGGCACCGCTCTGCTCGGGGAAGCCCTGAGCTTCGTTGCCCGGCGGGTTCAGCCAATACCCATCAATGTGAATTTAGGTGCATGAGTAGAAGATGGGGACAGTTTCTAGGTGTCACACGTGTCCCTTTGCCAGCACCAAGGGCCAGGGAAGGGGCCGGGCAGCCGGGCAGCGCTGGAGCCCGAGGGGGCTGCTCTGCTCCTGCTCTCCAGCCTCCCTGTGGCTCCAACATGGACAGGTCTGGCCGCAGGTACCGCTCTGCAGCCCATGTCCCCCCTGCAGCTCCTCTGGGCAGGAGGAGCAGGAAGGAAACCTCATCGTCCCCATTCCCTGGGGATCCTTGCGTAGCTGGAGCGGGAAACGGAGCTGGGTTGGCTTGCAGAACCTGACGGCTTCTCTTTCCAGATGGAAGAAAGGGAAGGATGGAGTTTTTGGCTGGGCTCCTTGCCCCGTAGCCTGGCTCCGGTCCCTCCGTCCCGCGGAGGAGCGGGATGCGGGGTCCCCATCCGGGTCCCGTGCCCTCGCTAACGCTGCTTTTGCTTCCCGCCCCGTCCAGGGGGAAGACCCGTATTACCTGGAGAGCGACAGCCAGGGCAACACGATGCTCACGACGGCCTCGCACGAGCCGGCGGAGCCTCCCGAGAAGGCCAACGCCAACGGCGGCGCTCAGGAGAACGGAACGGGGCAGGGGGCCTCCGCCAAACCAAGCAGCACGCCGTGGCCGACACCGAGATGTGAGCGGGGGCCGCACACGGCCGCGGACACCAGGGACTCGCTGAGCTGCTTTACTTGGGGCAAGGACCTTCCACCAGCCCAAAGCCCCAGAACCGGAGCCCAACGTCACTGTGTCCCCCAGGGCAGCCGTGTCACCACATCCCCCTGGTTTCCACACCGAAAGAGCACCACGAGCGACGGAGGCACCACGTGGCCATCGGAGTCCTTGACCCAAGAGACCAAGGGCTGGGAGTTGGGCTGGTTGCAGTAGTTAAGGTTTCAATGACAAAACCCTCTCAGGTTTCAGGGAATTTTGCATATAAAAGTTGGTTTTAATCTAGTCTCTACATTTAAGTGCAGTTTTGTTTTTCTTCCTTAAGGATGTCAAGCCCCTTTTTGTACTTTATGTCTTTTTTTTTAGTGTTTAGCTCCTGTAGACTCTCCTGCAGCTGTATGTAAAACTCTCCACGTGGAATTGAAGGTTGAAATGTGAATAGACCTTGAACTCATATTTTCTAATCCTCCCGGTATGCAGGTGGTTGTTTTACAGTAAAACATCTTCCCTGGTCTCTTCATCTCAGCCAGTGTTTGACAAGGCAGAGCGGGTGATCGATCACTCGCGTGTGATGGGAGAGCACCGACACCGCCGTGCACAGCTCTGCACGTGCCACCAGCCACCGCGTCCCTTCTCCTGCGGCACGGGAGCAGCTCTCACGTCAGAGGGGGATTTGGGGAGGAAAAGATGCCAGGGGACCCCCAGCCGAATGAGAAAAAGGGGTCTCACGTGCTAGAGAGAGCCCCTAGTTCTGCCAGGGATGCTTTTCCCTCCACATTCTGCTATGGGCACATGGAAACAGAGGGGCTTTTCCCCGCTTTTCAGCAGCCAAAGGCTAACATGGGAATCCTCGTGCAGGAGTAAGCCCAGCCTCTGCCCTGCGGCCGAGGACAGGGGTGCCCCAAGCCTGGGAGGACTCCAGGTTGGACACGAAGGCTCCAGGGTTTGCACGGGGGTTTCGGGATGCTCCCGCATCCCCTTGGATTTGAAGGAGTGAAGGGCTCATCCCCCCACACTGCCTGGGTCACCTGTGGGCGGTTCCCAGGGTTTTAGGTTCTTCTTTGTGTGAATTGCTTCTCCAAACCTAACTGTAAATAAGCTCCGTTGGAAAAGAAACAAACAGCGTTAAAAATCGCCTCCTCTGCTGTGTTCTTGGAACACCGGCCGGTTATCCCCCGGGATGAACGTCGTGCCAGCGCGACGGGAGGACAACGCCTCTCCGAGCCGATGTTTTGCAATAGACACGGGATGACTAAAAGCTGCGCCTTGTTCTTTGCGCCTTTTCCCTGTCTTCCAACAACAACAACAAAAAGCTTCGGCAGGGCTGGCCAGATGTGTTATTGAGCCTCGTTTGCTTGTTTGTGGTTGTTCAGGACCTTTCTGCTGGGTAAACAGGGCTGCGTGTCGGCTTGGAGCACGGATGCTCCCGTGGGAACTGGGGACATCCCACAGTCCTGCCCCTTGGTAAAGACAGGGAAGCTTCTGCCCCAATTACGGGAAGCTCTGGGAAGGGAATGAACTGAGCATGGCGTGCGTTTTGCAGGCTTTGGGCTGTTTTCTTGTCGTTTTGGGTGTTTTTTTGGCAACTGCTCATCTCCCCGGTGCCACCGGAGCCCGGAGCTCCGGTCCCGGACCAGGCGCGGGTCTCACGGCGTGGAGGGCCCCAGGACAGCCCAGGACAGCCCAGGACAGCCCAGGAGCAGCCAGTGGCTCTGGCAAAACACGAGCTCTTCCTGCACTGCTCCCTGCACGGAAACGCCAAAGCGGCCGAGCAGGGACAGGGCGAAAAGGGCCGGCTGGGCTGGTGGGAGCCTCGCGTTGGCACGCGACGGGCTGGCGACCACCAGGCCACCTCTGCTCTTCCGTTCTGCTTTATTATTATTATTATTATTATTATTATTATGGGGTCTTTGGGTACACATAAATAACACAAGTTCCAGCCTAAAGCTGACTGTGATCCAGTAGCAAATGAGCAACACGGATCAACGCTGGTGCCCTCAGCAGGTTTCAAAACCAGGGGCAAGACTTCATACCCATAAATACCCCATACCTACCCCATCCATGTGGGAGCTTGGGAGGCTCTTGGGAATGTGCAGCCTCCTTCTCCGGGAGGGTGAATCCTGCTCGAGCTCCTGCAGCGGCCCCGGGGCGACACCACCGTCTGCCTGGTGCCTTCAAAGGTGTTTTCTCCCCCAAAATTCATATAAAAAAGCTTACCCCTATGGGTGCACTGCCCTTTGCAATTTAGTTTAGAGGATGCAGAAATGCAATTTCAACAGGTGTGTGCCTAATCTCCAGCACACGTCACGGCACCCTGCGGCCGACCGGGAAGGAGCTTTTAGGCTGCAATTCACCAAGGTTTTGCGTGGCTTTGCAACCACAGTGGAAACAGGCTGGGATATATATATATATATAAATATATATCTATATCCATAAAGCAATGCTGCTACCTGCTGGCTGTGCTCTGCTAAGGCATCGGGCACCTTCCTCGGAGCTGGTGCTCGTGCAGCTGCCGTGGCTCTGCAGCAGAAGCCGAACCAAGTGGACGTTATCCCACGGCACTTCCACGCATGGACAGGGCAGCCACAATACTGCCAAAAACTGCATTAGGAAAGGGGAAATGCGGACAGGGGCCTCCAGGCTCCTGTTCGTGGAGCAGTCAACATCTGAAACGAAGTTTCCGTCACTCCACTTTCCATCTGCTTGCTAAATGCCTCCTTCTCCCAAATTTGCGTGGGAGCTGTACAATATTTGCTGCACCATCTGCTCTGAGACCATGTGAGCTTTTTAATTGGAGCAAAAAGAATGCAGAAATGGCCGGGTGCGATAGGGTCTTCTGCTAAAACCTTGAGAGGAGCAATGGGAGAAACAGCATGGAGTGCATCACTGCTTGCAGTGATGGGATAGTTCCGTCTTTGCCTTCCAAGCAAAGGGAATAACATTTGTTTGGAGCTTTTCCATCCTAAGGGGGGAAAAATATGTATATTTACAACTATTTGCATTACAGGCGCTTCACAGGTGTTTTAATCCTGCCTTTAATGCTAGCCTTCAAATCCATTTAATTTGCTGGTGTTCTGATTTGCGGTAACAGCAGTAAATGCAATTAACTCTCCCTCGAGATAAACTGTCCAAGACGGACACGGAGGAACCGGGCTCTAAAGCACCTCAACGTGCTGGGGATGGCGATGGGGCGAGCACGAGATGGGGCGCGAGGCTCCACGTGGACGTTTGGGGACAGTTTTCAAGGATCCAGCAGGAGGATGAGGAAATTACATGCTTAAAATTTTTCCTGTTGAAAAATCTGACATGCTTTTTCTTCTTGGGGAAAAGAAACCCACAATTTTCTCTCAGTTTTCTCATAGAAAATTGATTTGTTGGGAGGAAAAAAAAGGAAAAGGAGACTAGTTCTGGTTTCTCCGCCTAACTGCAGAAAAAAGGGGTTTGGGAAGCTTTAGAGCATGTTTCTTTTGTCTTGCACAAGATGCATAAGCTGCCCCAAGGGCCTCCACCAAGTAAATTTACCTTCGGGCTCTATCTTCTTTATTCCTGTAAATGGCAGTACATTACCCTGCCTTATTTATTTGCTAGAGTTGCTTTTTTCACTTGTGATTTTGTTTTTAATCTTCTTGTTTGCATCTTCCTTCTTCTCTTATCTTCCACTTGCCCCGAAGCCTTAGTGCTGCTTTGGCAACATGTGAGCGTGCTGAGGAATGATAAGATGTCTAATTAATAGTTTAATTAGCCGTACAAGTTCTTAATAGCTTATTAAAGGGAAATCATCCAGAAAACTCTTTTCCTTTTTTTACACTGGCTCAATATAACTCATGGACAAAGGGGTCTGTGCAATATTCTGACTTTCATAAAAGGAACCTGCTGGTGGAGTCACAATCTCATGAGGGACTCTGCACCACTAATGCTATATTTTTGTTTAAAAAAAAAAACAGTTTAAAAGGACCCACGAAAGCAATTCTAGGGACCAAAGCTGCTGGGCAAGGAAGAGAGCGGACTCCTTTCCTTGCAACTGTTTATTTGCTCAAGTTCATTAAAACTGCCTGGTTTTATACTGAGGAATCCCTGGGCTATGAACGCCAGGGGAGGAGGCACCACCTAAAATCCCTGGGGATCCTTCCTGCCTTTTCCATTAAGGAAGGGGCCTTGAGTCCTGCTTCGCAGCCCTGATGCTGAAAGAGCAACGCAGGCTCAGGCCGTTCCCCTTCATCCCAAATTCTGCCACCCACAGCTGCTTTTCTTTTCTTTTTTGTTTTGTTCTGTTTTCCCGTGTGTGTGAGACCCGCACAAGGATGTCTTGCTAGATTTATCACAGCCCCACTGAGAGGCAGCTCCCGTGGCGGTGCCAGGAGGCGATTCCAAGGGGACAGGGTGGCCTGGAGGCCGGTGACGCAGGAGCCACCGCGGCCCCTTGACCTCCTTGCTCCGGATTATCCCCGCAGTGCGCGGGCAGAGGCGGGCGCTGCGCCCGCTACCTCCGGCTCCCAGGCCGTTCCCAGGAAGATCCAGGCTGTGACCTGGCATCTTTGGGGAATTTCCGAGGCATTGGGTGCCTGACAGGGAGCTGCTGCCTTGCCCTGGGTGCCACGGGCGCCTTCGAGGCAGCGCTGAGCGACTGCGCGGGGACACGGGGACAGTCTGTGCCTGGCGGCTGGGACAGAGCCCGCCCAGCGCAAGGTTCCTCCGGGCTGTCAGCGAATCACTTAATCCGTGTTTCCCCCATGCGGAGCGGGGATGATTCGCTTCCCACCAAGAGGAGGTGGCAATAAACCCCTGGAAGGACCGGGAGCTGCAGCACAGGGGCAGCCACAACGCGACACCGCGAGCGCGACCCTGAGAAACGCGTTTCTCTCCGGCCGCGTTTTGCAGCGATCACGGCACCAGCTCCGGGCCGGCCCGGGCCCCAGAGCTCCCGGGGACGCGGAGAGGCGGCCGCGCTGGCGCAGGGCTCCTCGC